GGGGGGGGGGGGGGGGGGGTGGGGTGTTAAAAACCCAAGTCTGTTACATTTGCACAGTGTAACACTCGAAAAATCACTGACACGAGTTTGAATCTACTAGACAACCCATAAATGAAATCTTTATTTACTTTTACACTATTTTAGGGTGGTGCATCGAGGAGGTCCGTAGGGGTAGTCCATGGACTGGTCCGTAGGGTAGTCCGCGGACCTGGTCCGTTGTGGGGGTCTGCGGACCAGGGATCAGTGTTTTCGGGTTACCTGATTGAGTATGGATATTTTCTGGAATAATTTGCATATATGTGACTGGCCCACATCCACAAAAAAATTCCCGGGAGGGGGTTCAGTCTTATATGGCTCATATGTGGAAGTGCCCCAGGAGGGCATCGTTTTTAGCCTCACTGTCCTGAAGAAGGTAAAATAATTTTCTGTAAGTCTGTCCTAAACAGGGTCTAAGCCTATCCTAAACTGGTTATGACTGCACAATTTCTGTCGCTAAATGCGATTAAGCATGAGTTGACCATTCCAGGCCACACCAGAGAAACCAGAGTTTGCATGGGGTTTAAAAAACAAAATAATGGCGAACTACCTGGTCGTATTCCGTGTTCAGCACAAAGCTGCTTCCAGAATTCCATCCCAACTGTTCAAGAAAAAGAGGAAAATAAGGATTTAAGCTCGCTATCAGCAAGACATTTTTCAAAAGAAGATCTCGACATGTACAGCCAATATGCACAAAACATGCATCCACTGCGGTGGTTCTTGGTAAACGCTCTCAAAAAAACTTACTTTGATTTCCACATTGTCCAATTTGCAGAGTTATAATTTCACGGGGCATCTCGATTTAATATATGCGATTAAATGGCGTTAAAAGATCTTAAACCTTATCGAAATGAACATGGAAATCCCTCAAAGTCGAAAATGGCGGCAAGTATCAGGTACATCGATTGTGTCAGCGGTCTACTGGAAACTCAGTATTAGGGATTGGTGGGTGGAGTTTACTTGTAAATTAAGTCTAACCACTTTCATTGAATAAGAAATCCATATTCTTCAAAACTTTGTGTCACTGAAAATTTGTTAATATCAGAACGAGGATTAGTAAGTTAAAAGGACTAAAAAATGAAAATTTCTTTTAGTAATACTAATTGTCTCATAATTCTTCCCTTCCCGTCCCTCCCGTCCCTTTCTTCGGCGTTTTGTAACATTGTTGTTTGTACAGCCGGCTGACAGCTCTAAATGGCCGCCAAAGACCTTCTGCAAGTGTTGCTGCAAGTCAGCGAAAAATCGGCCCAAATTGCACGAGCATGGCGCTGTCAGGAGGAACTGTTCGAGTTGATGGTCGAAGAGAAAACAGAGAAAGAGAAGAACCAGCGATTTGTACACGATTTTAAGACGCTGGCCGATGTTCTTGTTCAAGAAGTCGTGAAACATTATGTCACCCAGAAGGTGAGTTGAGCTCAAGCTGTTGTATTGGCACAATAAATCGACGTGGTTTTTGACTTTACACACTTTAATTGCTACTATCCCGAGACGATTTCGTTCTAGGAATGATCCACCTTATTTTAAAAGTGTAAACGTCTTTCTTTTCTTCACCCATACAGTTTCCTGAGTTCAGTGGTTATATTTTCGGCGAAGAATCAAACATATTTACCAACAGCTTTGGCCAGGAAATTAGAATAGAAGTTCAAGAAGACCCTTCTGAGACGTCCAAACATTTGGCGACGGTTCTTTGTGGAAACGAAAGTGCTGCCCGTCTGCTGGCAGATCTTATTCACGCTGACACTGTCTTGGAGAAAGAAGAAACACGAGCTTTGAATGATCAGTTAGATTTTGAGCTACCATTGAATGAGTTAGCCATTTGGATTGATCCAATTGGTAAGCGGGGAAGATTTGCAGACTCCAGGTGCACAACAACAGTTTTGTTTATTATCATGATATTTTTCAAATGCATCTATGTCTGTTATTACTTGGGTGTTTCCAAAACGTATCTTAGAAACTTAAATTTGTTTCTGTGAATGTTTGCAAAGTATGTGCTTACAAGTAAATTATTAAAACAAAGGTACCTGTTACCAAGGATACATTGTGGCTTCTGATTGGTCTATAGAGTGATTTTTAATTGACTGTGGAAAGTAATCAGGTGATTACTTTGGTCAGGGGTGGACCCAGGATTTTTCAAGGGAGGGGGGAGGCGTGTGGCTGGTACCTTGCAGCTGAAAAATCAATGGGACATGCTCCCAAAATGTTGTAATTTGAGAATTGGAACCTAAGTAAAAACCTTTTCACTAGAAATACTAGCAATACCACAAAGTAGAAATTTCAATGAGGCACCTGTCCAGAGAGTTTGCATTTATTTTTGTTATAATAATTACAACCTTTTTCTAATTTTTTATGTTTTCCTTCTCCAAAAGGGGGGTTTTACAACAATCAGTTGAAAACTGAACTATTTTAGCAGTATAGCATATCATTTCAGATGTGCTAAATGCAGACATATTTCCGGCTGTCGCTTGTCTCCACCAAAAATTTGGTAACAGCTGGAAATATGTCTTCATTTGCAGGCTAGGGTTTGGATGGTTAGCATGAAGACTCTGTAGCCAGAATCCAGGTTTAGTGAGCTATCAAAGGGTGTAGAGAGGATGATGGGCTGCTACTCTTACTCAAGAAATTAGCTAGTCAGTGTTCCAGTAGCTATTTGAGGAAAAATTTCGGGATAAATTACAGATCCCAATCTTCATTATTGGTTTTGTCTCAGTTTTCTGATGGTATTCTTTTTTTTCTCAGATTCTACAACAGAATACATTTCAAATTCTCCTGGAGAGGAAATTGACAGCATTGTAGTTTCAGGATTGCCCTGTGCAACTGTCCTTATTGGTGTATTTCATCGTGAAAGTGGTCTGCCTGTGGCTGGAGTTATCAATCAGCCTTTTTCAAGTCTGATCCAAGACAGCTCAAGTAGTAATCAGTGGAATGGAAGAAGGCTATGGGGAGTTACACATGCTGAGCATTTCTGTTATTTCCTTGGAAAAGAGAGAAGGACTGCAAGTGAAGCTAAAAGAGACACCACGTCTCGTAATTTTAAGATCGCTATCAGTGGAAGTGAAAGTGAAAACTTGAAAAAGACTCTGTTGTCTGCCGGTGCTAAGTTATTTCCAATTTCTGGTGTTGGCCACAAACTTCTTCACGTAATTGATGGCAATGTAGATTTCTATGTTCTTTCCCATGCCTCCTCCTTTAAGTGGGATACTTGTGCAGCACATGCAATACTTTGTTCCATGGGGGGAGGGGTGGTGACCTTCAATGGGGCCATGTCATTGAAATTAACAACAAAAGAACTTGATAAAGTGAATCTTGAAAAATGCAAAATAAAATATCACAAGCCAGATGACGACATTGGGAAGAAATGGAGCAACATCAATGGAGTGATTGCTTTTAAATCGTATCAAAGAGTTTTTCAACTCTTGGAATCTTTACACTGATCAATACAGTGACAAACAGAATTGAAAAGTTGGTTATATGTAATTTATTA